GCACAGACCACATCGGAAATGTTTAAGGGAACAGCAACAAGTGACAAACCTGGCTGGGACATGCTTATCAATGTCTGCTCTGAAAGGTGAGATTTTTGTTTATTTTAACATCTTGATCATATGATTCCTTAGCTTTTTTGGATATTATTAGCCTAAATAAACTGATGAAATACACAATTACTGTAACTGTGAAACGTTATGAAAGCTGGCTAACTTACTTTTACAACTTACCTTACGAAAAAAACAAGAAAAAAAAACAAGGTTACTATAGTTAAACCACGGTAACCACAAATTAACCATGGTTTTGCTACAGTAGCCATAGTTTAACCATGGTATTCGTACAACTGTGGTTTTTATAATTAATATGCCAAAAAACATGGTTACTACACTTTTACTATAATAAAACTAGTAAAAGTGTTGTTGGGGTCCCCTTGAAACATTTCCGTTGTGGTCTGTGCTACTTGCAACACTTTTGTGTGCTTGGTTGTGTTGCGAGTATTTGCAGCGCATTTCTGTATTTGGTCGTGCTGTGAGTATTTGCAGCACATGTGTTGTCAAACTGATGAAGATGTTTTCTTAATTTGCTGGTACGTTTTCTTATTTGCATGTGTTTTCTTAAGTTGCAGCGCGTTGAGCTCTCTCGGCCACTGTCCATATGAGAAAGAAAAGCAGAAACAAATGAGATAATAGTTGACATACAATTAAGAGTATGGAAATACATGATAAAATGGATGTTGCTAGCAACTCAGTCTTGGAAGAACTTGATGAGAAATTATTAATTTCAAATTAAAATATCTGGCTTGTGATTGCAGACTTTGGTATCTTGGAAATCTGAGCACAGTTTGTGCTCAAATTTTCTACTGTGATCTCTTGTAAATATCTAGATGAGACAAATATGAGATTACAATTGTCTTTTTCTCCGAAGAAATTTCTGGCAGTAAGGAATGGGTGGCAGACAGGTTAAAACAATAAACCAATAAAGAAGAAAAGAACTTGTGTTTTACTTCAGTTATAAATCACTTGAGTTATAAAAGTTTTCAGTCTGATTTGAATGTGATGTGATAAAAGACTATTGAGTGCACTATTGAGTGCACACAAAAATATCACAGTCCAACTAGTCTAGTTTGATTACCAACAAATGAGTCTTATGAACTGATTCTTTTAATTAATCATTCAGATCAGATGACTCAAGGACTTATCAGTTTGAGTCAGTTTGACAAATGCTTTGCTAAATGAACTGAATCTATGGTTAGTGAATCGACATCTATACAGGTGAAGTACTTCCAAAAAGATTTGGATGTGCAGAAAAAGATTTGGGCAAATATTGTTTTCTTATGCTTGTAATTTAATATACACCTTTAAAAACTTTTTTTGCCACTATTTTACCCTGAAATTTGGCCAGAATTTTTTTAAAATTCGCTTTTCCATTACAATGTGTATATTACAATATACACATTATAAACCGCACATTATAAAATATATATCCAAATAAAATTTATGTACCGGTAATATAAATTTGTACTTGTATATCGCCCACCTCTAACTGAGCAGACAGAAATGTAAGCACAATTTGCCCTCTGTTTAATCTCACTGCTGTCTTGAAGAAACAACAGAGATATAAAAGAGATCTCATTTCTCAGATCTCAGATTCGTCTTTTATAGTGGATCTTTTCATTATGTGTGTTGGAGCTTGAGGATGGTTTGACATACAGAGCTTGAGCAGAATCGGTCCATCAACTCTAATGCAGCTAATGCCAAGACAAACACACAGATCTCTTGCAAATCATGGTCTGCTAAATAGTCCACATCATTAAACATAGTCTAAATGAACTACATACTACAACATTCGCACATCCACACAAAAGCTGACTGGGGTCATTATGGAACGATAAATTAGAAAAGATGTTGAAAGCAGTAGCAACATTTCAACAGTACAGTATGTAATTCATCAATATTTGATAGAATACTTGATTCTAATTGGCTAATCGTGGCATTTGGGGTTTATTTTACGATAATGACTGGATGACTGTACATTATCCTTTACTAATCAGCTACATGCTATGGCATCTAATATACAAATAAACACTCACCAGGCACTGATGTGCCCAAGGCCACAAACACCACAGCTGTGACAGTGTCCTTCAGGCCTACTGTACAACCAAAGTGAGAGGCCAAATCTCCAGTGACAGCGGTCAGGACCCCGATGAGTGTAATGGAGACGATGAAGCAGGCCCAGCCGTTCCAGTACTCTGTGGGTGGAACGAAGGCAAAAAGAACCTTCCAGAAAACTGTCAGGAAGTGCATGATGTAATCAAAGCACGAGGGCAAGCGCTCTTCCCCGCTCTCCTCCTCATCATCATCACCTGAGGAGGTAAACAAAAGGTACAGTATACAGAAAGGTTTGCTTGATTATGACAAAAAAAATTTCACGAGCATCACTGCAAAATGGAATGTGACACAATCATCGTTTTATTTCGATTTTCTAGTTTTCATAATCGTTGGAAGCCAAAAACGTAACTGAAAATAAAATTTGATCAATTGTCCAGCCCTAGTATAGTATATAGTATAGTATGTAGTAATTAGGAAAAAGCATTCAATTCAAATGAATTCAGGTCAAATAAATTTACTTTAATTTAATTATTTTAGTACAATTAAATGTTACACAACTTTCAGGTTTTGAAGAAAAATTCATCTTGGTTCACATAATTGTACACTGACAAACAACTGGTGAAGTATTTACTTTGAAACAATTTTCACTCAGAAATTGCTAGTAAATTTCACAAATAACGCATGTATTAAGACACTGACCTGCACTGACAGTGACAGCGCTAACAAACTGTTCTCTCCAGCTACTGCTGCCCACCACCAGCGCCAGGTTAGTCTTCTTTATGAGCTTGTCGACGGTATTCTGAAAAACACACAAATACATATATAAACACCAAAAAGACATATCAAACCTAAACCCACAAAACTGTGTCCTCGTAGTAGACAAGATTTAATATGACTCGGTCTCGTAACCCAGTGAGCACAGAGGTCTCAGCTAAACTGATTTCAGTGAGGCAGTGGGTGTGGGCTATGCACAACCCTGTCAGAATTTCATTTTCTCCAATGTCATCCTGTCCTAGCCGTTTTCTTGTTTGCATTTAGAGCGCTGCGGATAATCGCTGAGCGAGTAACGCAGTATTTCTACCTCAAATCTCTTCTAAATCGCTGTGCTACCTGACCCCAGTGACCTCCAGTATTGAGACTGTCACCATGGGAACAAGGAGGTAAGGATTCAGACAGAAATTGAACGTGAGAGACTGAGCAGGTAAGACCATTTCATGAAAGCTGTATTGTTTTTACTGATTCACAGGACTTACCTTAAACTCGTACGATTCCTCTATCACCACCTCCAGTTTGGTGTGCTCTCCCAGACTCGGGCAACCCATCTTGGCCACCTCCTCTTCCTCTTCTCCCACCGCCAGTTTGTTATCATTGGAGTCTCCTGTCAGAGGAAGACACATCAAAAATCTACTCAGCCATAGAGTTTGTACATAGCTGAGATGGTAGAACTCAATTTACAAGGAAATTCACTAAGAATGAATTGTGCTCACTGGTAGCGATGTTTATTTGCATGCACAGTCTAAGCTCGTTGTTGCGCTCAATTCACTAAAGGAATTTTGCAAATCAAGTAACTGAAAATGCAGCCAAAAATGTGTGTTGAACACAATTTGCATGATCATTTTCTATCTTGCAGGCCGTTTTTGAGTTCTAGTTTGAAGAGGATGCAGCAGACTACAGCAATCTGGCATACTTTGTTGTGACTCTGTAGCATGTTTCCAAAAAATAAATCATTAACTTTTATATTTTCATTGTACTAAAGCCAAAGCAAACTGTATGAATGTTGCAAGGAATGGGAGAATGCAGATTTTTTTGCCCCAAAAACCTATATTCAGATTAGGTTTTTATTTCTCACTGTTACAAGCTACAGTAGGGCTTTCAATCAGTGTTATTTTAGTATTATTTGTTATATAGTACATACAATATAACGAGAGAATATTTTGAATTAGCTTTCATTTTTATATTTTATTCTTTCATCAATTTATTTTATTTCAGCTTATTTCAACTGATGAAAACTATTTTAATAATTTTAACAAACATTGCTGTCAATATATAAATATATAAAAAAATACAATATGTTGATAAAAATGACAAAGCAGTCCCAAAAATTTCACAACAAAATAATCGATAAATAAAATACCTAACATTTTCCACAGACCCTTTAGAACATTTCTGTGGCCCCCAGGGGTCCCCAGAATGCAATGTGAAAACCCCTGAACTAGACTATGAATGAGTAGGGAACAAGAAGCAGATTTTTGTTTCAGGTTTCTGACATACATCACAGCTGTTTAGTGAATTCATCCCTTTGTGTTTATCATAATCCACTGTAATGTATCATATGCTATAATAGCACTACACATAAGGAGGAAATAAACATCATCTCTTTGTGTGTCTTAGAAAAGCATTGAGGAGAGAGACTGAAAGACAGAAATCATCAAAAAATGCTTATGTTAATGGCATCAACATTCTTAATTGGATTCTGTAACAGTATGGCAATTTGAAGAGCATGGGGATGAACATTACATTAGAGCAGTTAGTACATAATTAATGTGCAGAAACGGCCTAGAGATATTGCTTCAACATGGCTGCTTGCACTGCAACCAATTACTGCCTATTCCTTCTCTCCCATTATAACCATTATAAGACCTCCACTGTCTCCCATTAATCGCTCCATTCACACAAAGAAACCTTTCTATCAAATCTGTTTCTGAATTATTCAGGGATAGATGTGTAAGTTATTAATACAATATTAAAAAGAGACCCCAATCTGGTTTCTAATACAAATCCATAGAGAACTGCAGATGGAGCATGGATGTCACATAGAGATCCACGGACCGTGTTTCTGCCCGATCTCCAGCAGCACCGGCTCCCCCAGGTGGATGGTGAAGGTTTTGTTCTTCTCGTACTCCTCATCGTCAATGATCTTCACCTCCAGGATTTTCCTGTGGTGGACAAAGACATCAAATTGAAATGTAGTATATTTTCAAAGAATGTGTTATGTGAAATGTGGAAGTTGAAGAAACAATGGGATAACTATGCAGCAGTAGCCAATGATAAAGACTTGGAGAAAGAGCTGAGGAAAGGCTGAAACATGAGCAGAATGGTTTTCTGGGTAAATCGTTCGTAAAACCATTCTTATGTAGACTGTCATCTTCAGTGGACTGCAACAATTGATGGAGGAATGGATTTATGAATGATTTACACCACAATTCATTCTGCTTGTTTTTATACATGAGCCCTAAGGAGTGTATGTAACATCCATAATATTCACTGAACATACAATTATTGAAAAAAGGTGGGTTAATTCAGCACATTTGACTTTCCTCTTTAAAATATTATGCAGTGGGAATTTTGAGTTCTTGCATAATCTTGAGTTCATTGCTGATTCCCTCAGAGAGGCAGAAACACGTAGCAGCTCTGTTTTTAAATAATGGGGCTGCGGTACAATGTTTTTGTGCTTATGGCTAATCACCATTTGTCATTATTAGCACACACAACACTCTGGTCATGGTTGATAAACACTGTCTACAGAAAGGCTGTACAACAGCAACAAGGGGGAAGAAATAATTTAATTATTTTAGCAAAAAAGACGGTGGCACGCCATAACCACAGTATATAATTATGTGGTAACATTCATTTTAGCTTGTATTCTATTTTCTGCATGTTATGAAAGTCATTATACAATGGATAGTTCTGGCGATTAATGCTGATTGGTCAATACAGCCTTTTTAGTCATGCTGAAACGTACAATAGTGACGATTATGACACAAAACAAACACCTGTTCATTATATCATAGAGGCAACTATAAAATGATCAGGTGCTGCATCTAGTGCAAACACAGTGCTTTAATAAATTTGCTAAACATTTTAATAAAAATTTGAGTCCCTGATAATTTTATTGTGAAATAATAATTTTCTAAATTGATAAATTCTCAAGTTGTCACCAATATGTCACAAAACACTCCCTGTTAGACATAAAAACAACATTAGGCAAATATATGAATCCACACTTTCATCAAATGTTTGTACAGAAATAAGATGCTTTAAATGTGTTGCTTTCCAGATTATGTGCTCTTTCACAGGCATCGCAGCAATGTGTATGTGCTTTCTGAGCAGATGCGTAGAGTGAACACAAATGAATGAAGTGTGATGCACTAAAATAAATAAGTTACTGCTTTATGATCTCTATTGATGTTTTGGCTATATATGTAAAACAATTGTGTTGATAAAGGCTTTTATAGTTTAAACTGATTATGCATTCAGTCTCTGTGTTAATTTTGCATAACTGTGCAGATTCAGTGCAAAAAAAGAACAATGTTTGGTGTCTTATCCTGGATAACAATGCATACAGGAATAGAAGTGAACTGATCTGAAGACTCGGGTGAATGGAACACAGCTCATGGATAATGAAGAGAGAGAAAGAGAGAGAGAGAGAGACAAAGGCAGTTTCAAAAATTAAAAAGTACACAAATCTGTTGGCATGCTCAGGTACATGTGCATCTGCTGTGTAAACACAGTTTCCGCTGCTGTTTTGTACTGTAATCCCTCTATTACATGTTAGCACTAATCTTCTCTTTTCCCACCTCTCTTTGCTTTGCAGCCTTCATTGGCCAGACGTGTGTGTAATTAAATTCATTAGGACTTGTTCTTTATTAATTAGCCCACCGTGCTTATCCTACACGATTGTAACGCATGCTTTCAGTCCCATCCCCCCTTTAACCATTTCTCTCTTTTCACACTCTGCCTAATTTATCCATCTAAACTATGGATATATATAAATATATAGCTATATATATTATACTACCATTAATGTTTAAAAATATTTTTGATATTATTCAGCAAGGATGGATTAAATTGATCAAAAGTGACAGTAAAGAATTCAAAAATTTCAATTCTTTCTTTTCATTCAAGAATCCTGAAAAATTGTATCACAGTTTCCACAAAAATGTTAAGTAGCACAACTATTTTCAACATTGATAATTATAAGAAATGTTTCTTGAGCAGCAAATCATCATATTAGAATGATTTCTCAATGATCATGTGACACTGAAGACAAAATTCAGCCTTGCCATAACTGGAATAAATTATATTTTAAAATAGAAAACAGTTACTTTAAATTGTAATAATATTAAGTGATTTTCAAAAACATTTGTAAAATCTTACTGACCCTTTTTATATTATATATAAAATAAAATGTGGTCAGAATCCATTCACATAATTTGAAAAATAATTACGTCCACTGGGTGTGTTTACAGCTGGTATTATAATGTGGTCAAGTGTAAAGGGGCTCCTTGTGAAACAGTTTTTTTCTGGTTTCTTTGGCCTGGATATTGAAAGAGGTCATCAGGAGATAGTAAGATCTGACTGGATGAACAAACAGCAGGATAAGGAAAGATGAGCATAACAGAACACAGCAAACATTAACCATGAAGCCAGGAGTCCACATTAGCGTCATCTCCGTGACCAGGTAGGTTAACCCCACACGCCTGCTCTCAACTGTAATTAGAACTATTACTCACCGAGCCAAACGCTCCCCACCAAAGAAAGAGACAGATGTGCATAAACAAAAAAACTAACAAGGGACCTTAATGAGGTCTGAAACTCACACAGCTGCTCACTTCCAGTCTGTCCACTTCATACTCACATGCACATGCACACAGGGCCGTTTCAAGCCATTTTGACGCCCTAGGCGAAATCCAAATTGGATAAATAAATGTTATTATATTTGGATTTGGATACATGTTTAGATATTATCAATTACTACTATTTGTCTCTATCTGTTTTTTTTTTTTGTGTGTGTGTGTGTGTAATTGTTTTGTTGTTGTTTAAAACGTTGATTTAAAGTATCCGTTTTTTAATTATTATTTCAGTCAAACCCATAAAACACTGTTACCCCAAACTACATAAAAAAGCTTGATCAGTCACATAAAAGTAATCAGACTCCAGCTACTTATTCCTTTGTTACGCATTGACGTGTGAACTTCCCCTTTAAATGATGCAATGATCTGCCCTCTATGTGTTTGACGCTGCTCCCATTAAGCGCTGTTCGAAGTGAATTAATTAATTCAGCATTTCAACACTTCTGTAAGAATGCGTTAAATTCAACAAAGAGGTTTAATACAGGATGTATTGATCTTGTGAATTAGCGAATTTTACTGTACCAATATTTTTTTAATCGGCCGTAAAATTTTTATATGGGAATATTACACAACACACTGATCCTTTAACAATGCATTGGCACAAAAACGCACATCTTTTGGACCAATTTTGCAGCATGATTTCTCGACTGCCACAAATACTGCCTTAACAAAATACTAATTTTGTGCACTTTTTTACTGTACCAATATTTTAAATTGGTCTTTGAACTTAGCTTTATTGCAAGGCTAAAAAAAAACACGTTACTTTGCCAAAGCACTGACAGCACCCATAGATCTAATGGTGTTGTTGAGCACTCCAAATGCAAACTTTGCATGCAACAATCCGGCAGCAATTGACAGC